TGTTATCAAGGTAGCCATCGCTACGAAGTTGCAGATAATTGGTGGTAGGACCTCTTGTGACTCCGCACGGGTAGGTACCACCACCCCGCCTCTTTCTGCCGTGAAGCAATAATGCGTTTCGGTATGATGGGTAGGGCAGCCGTTGTAACTATACGGATACCTTAGAACTTATATTTCAAGGTGGGTGGCGTTTACGTTGTAGATGTCTATGGGCTTCAGTAACCACTTAACACCAGGAGGGCTGTGAGCTCATCCACCCAACTCAGCATTAAAAAAAAGATAAACTTTTTACATTATCATCGATAAAGGTGTAAAATGAAAAAAAAAAACAAATAGAACGCGTGAGGTCATTAAAACTTGCCTTTAAAAATGTTTTTATTTATTTTCTTCTAAATGTGTTTGTAGCTGTTAAGGATATAGCCGCTGATGTGTTCAGATACAAGCCAGTCACGTAGAGAATGCCCGACAAATAAAGTCATATAGAGCTTAAGAAATCTTTTTATAAATCTGACACGTTTAGATCAGCTAGCGAATTCGCGAAACTGATCAAAATAACTAGTTTATGTAAAAATACAACTGAACTGACTTAATAATAAAAAGTTGTAATTTTTATTTAATTATCACAACATGTGTCCTAAAAGCTAATTTTAATTTACTTTAAGCCTAAAAAATATTTAATGTGAAGCACTTTTAAAGCTAACTCATACTTAATTTCAAATAAGTTAACATTTTATTAAGATGCATAGTTAAAAGGGAGATTTTATTAGCTCAAGACTGATGGGACGTCGCGTCTTTTAGATGCCAGAATAAATATCAGTTATGAGTTGAATAGGATTATAATTTATCAATGTACCCTTCGTTTGGCTTTAAATACCTACAGGATATACATATTTTGTCATAAGTTTATCGATGTATATATATAAAAATGAATTGATGTTCGTTAGTCTCGCTAAAACTCGAGAACGGCTGGACCGATTTGGCTAATTTTGGTCTTGAATTATTTTGTGGAAGTCCAGAGAAGGTTTAAAAGGTAGACAAGTATGAAAATCCTTGGAATTAAATAAAACTAACAATTTTGTTTTTCCTTTGATGTGTCCCCCGCCAGACGGATTCCTTTTGTTTGTTTTAAGTTTATTTTATACAAAAGTTTAGATCTTTTGTTTATCGCTTGAGGCACTACGAAGTCTGCCGGGTCAGCTAGTATATCATAAATTACTTACCAGGCTACCGAAGTCTTACAGAGAAAACAATGTTGTTTTTAAAATGTTTCACTCCTTTTTGGGTACTCGTCTATCTATCCCGTCAACCGATTCTTGCGTGCTTACAAAGTGCTCTTCTGCTTGTATTTACTCGAATTAATTAATTATAATTTTCATTTTATAGTACTGTTCCATCACTGCAGAATTCGGCTTAGGTACGAATTTACTTTTTAAAATTTGGAGCCCGATTTTACTACGAATATAGGCAGGTACTGTGGCTTTATCCTCCCGATCCATTAACGGTGCTTTTCGGTACCTCAAGCACCGTCACCGTTCTCGCCTAACCCATCGCTTGCGACGAAGGGCTCGGCGAGTAAATTAACCGACACAGCCCACTGAGTTTCGCGCCGGATCTTCTCCGTGGGTCGCGTTTCCGATCCAGAGGTAGATTTTGCGAAGCACTGCTCTTGCTAGGGTTCGTGTTAGCCACACTCCCGGCTTGAGCCCCGTGAGCTCACCTACTCGCCCGGTTACGCTGACATAGCCTCCCAAGACTATCACCTTAGGTAGGAAAGGAAAAAAAAAACTGTGGCTTTACTCGTTACAGGAATACGCCGGGCGTCCCAACTCTACAGAGGTTACGAAACTATCAATTTCACCCACTTATATTGAACATTCGTCACGTTTTCTTAGTATTCTAATCTTCATTAAAATCACTTCCTCTCACCGCGGAGCTGCGTCTCTCACACCAGATGCTACTTTGAAGAATAATTAATTGACATACAACTTATCACGGATAATTTATACGTCTGGATACGTAGAGGTGTGTCGCCATCTTGGCAGTAGTCCACCAGAAAGCGGCCAATTCGAAAATCAACTCAAACATGACGTAATAAGATCTGCTTTTCATTGAAAGAACTTAACAGTTCGTTTCGACGGTTGGTTAGCGAGAAACACCTAAACACTGGCCAAAATAAATGTGAAACCGTTCTGTGACGTATTTCACAATATTCACCCGTTGATGTTTGACAAATACATTCGGATCGCGAATATATCGAACAAATATACTAAAATAGGCTGCGACTATAGTTAGAACGTGCTAAAATCTATGAAAAGACGTATTAATTTGTACGTACCAATCCCGCCCACGTTCGGATACCTCGAGTTTCTCTAGACTCATATTCCGTTAATTTATTGTAATGAAGTTGTAATGGTGAAATATAAATGGTTTAAACAGAAAAATAAACAAAACGGATACCATTTGCCGTGCATTCGGTGATTTATAGCTGTATTTTTTTCTAATAGGTACTATTAATATGATATTCAGTCGTCCTGTTCGTGTGCGTGAATGCTTTATGATAAAGGTCAACATTCTCGACAAAGAAAAAAACATAGGGGACAGAACTCGTAAAACAAACAATGTTTATAGCGTTTCCTATCATTGCGAATTCTCAGTTCATTCATAAGATTGTTTCGAGGCGGTTCTAAGGAGGCTCGGAGTCGACTCATTACAAAAGCTTACATTAGTTGAATCAATCGAGTCGCGAGTGACGGTTGAATGCGTTCGACTTGTCACCCAGCGACGTCTGTCCTCGGCGTTTGGACTTTCGACCACAATTTATGGACACGCTGGAGCATTTTCACTTGAACAAATACACATTTATCTCATTAGTTTAGTTTTTTTTTTTAAAGTTATTTCACAATTCACAAACGCATTCTCTTTCAGATTTTAAATTACAATCGACGATCTTTTAAATTACGAATTAGAATCACAAATGTACAATCGAGAATGTATTACTATGCTCCAAATTTTCATGGGCCATAGCAATCTAGAATGTTATGAAACGCGTTAAACGTAATGTAAACATCGCGTACCAATCTGCGGGGTTAATAAAATCATTCCGATGTTGTAAAGTTGTAATTCAGGGGAGCTGCTCCGCCGTAACTCACCCGCTCCTCGACATTAACTGTTGTATTCGAATTTTTTAACGTTGTAGTTAAAACCCGAAGGTCGTTTCGTAGTTTTAGTTTGAATACATGAATTATTTTCGTATACCTGGAGAGCTCTGTTCGGTTAGTCATGCAGGAGGCAAGTTGTTTTCTCGATCATAAAAATTGTAAAGTCGTTAAATCTTTGTTGATATCTGAAGAACAGGAACACTCAATCATCTTTTCCTCGCATCGTATTTCATTAAATTTAAAAGGTAATAGAAGCGCTCGTCCAAACACGTCTGCGCTGATCGGTCATTTGGAATACTGCTGTTTAGCTAAAAGATACTCGTTAAAATTTTAGCTGTAAAAACGTGCGCGCAAAACACACGTGAGCGACGCCTTGTTTATTAATAGGCAAATTTATCCGACGTTCGGAATTAACGTAAATAGTCCTAGTTAAAAACTGCAGAATGCCGTGGGACCGTGTGAATTTAATTCGTTAATAAACATTCCCTATAAACTAGGCTGGGTCAAACATTACAAACAAATACGTCGGCAAGGGATGCGAACGAATCATTTCGACTGAATCGTCGAAGGATACAAATAATCAAAGATACGGTTTGATAAACACGGTCAATAAACAGCCTTCGATTAGACAAATGAAGATCGATCGAATCTCGAAACTGAGACACGTTCGACGTATCGTTTAACTGGGAATTAATTCAGATAATAGAGCTTTATAAATCATTTCAAAACAGTGTTGAAGTGAATCAATCGGAGAGACCCGGTTCTCGGAACGTATTCTGCAGACGCGTCTAAATCTGTTCGAACTAGCTTTGCACTCGATTGTCTGACAATGAACTCTTATCGAGTAAACAATCGATCAATCGCCGCGACCTGGCGATGTGCTGTCGACGGGCACCATGCAACATCGTAAATCGATACTTGTATAGAAGTACAACACTACTGATGTTGTGTCAGTACGACTTTATGACAGTAACATTACGAAATCTCACATGCGAATGAATCGATCTATTTCATATTCTCAATCAAATTGATTGTTTCATCTAATATATAAAATTCTCGTGTCACAGTTTTCGTTGCCATACTCCTCCGAAACGGCTTGACCGATTTTGATGAAATTTTTTGTGCTTATCTGGTATCTATGAGAATCGGCCAACATCTATTTTTCATCCCCCTAAATGTTAGGGGTAGTCCACCCCTAAATTTTTTTATTTATTTTTTAGACAAAATTTTTAATTTCTATTTTTTTATGATACAACATACAAAAATACATACAATCCTCAATTTTCACCCTTCTACGATTAACCCTTATTTTTTAATAGCCATTTTAGTAATTTAATCATTTTTCCTCTCCGGTCGAAAACTGATCAATCGTCATTTAATTAATTATCCCCGCCAGATGTCTACAGGTGTCACTTCTGACCCAGTAAACAGCACGGAGTAGGGATGTTACCTCTACAGTTTTCGGCTATTATTAGTGTTTATGCTTCAAGCGTAGTAGTTAAACATTTTTAGTTCATCGCCTTGCATGTCACATGGAAAATCTACAAAAAAAATCCCTAAAGATTTCACTAACGATACAATCACAAATGTCGACGGATATCCAACATATCGTCGAAGGAATCCAGATAATGGCGGACAATCATTTATTAAAAACATCAGCAACACAGACATTGATATTGACAATCGTTAGGTCGTGCCATATTCACCCCTGCTGAGCAAAACATACAATGCTCATATTAATGTTGAGTTCTGCAGTTCTGTGAAAAGCATCAAATACATTTGCAATTATGTCCATAAAGGCAGTGACATGGCGGTGCTTAGAGTGGAAAATATGAATGTACCATGGCACACAAACATTCGCTTGAGGCGTTGAACAGGACATTGAAAGATATTAAAAACAACGACAAACTATTTGGTGGCACTCGGTTAGTCCTTTCAGGTGACTTTAGACAAACACTTCCCGTCATTCCACGTTCAACATACGCTGATGAAATCAACGCCTGCTTAAAATCATCGACATTGTGGCGTAATGTTGAAATAGTACAGCTGAAAGTAAATATGCGCGTTCAAATGCTTCAAGATCCATCCGCTGAAACATTCTCAAAACAACTCTTAAATATCGGCGATGGAAAAGTCACTATAGCTGAAACTGGATACATAAAATTAGCGAATGATTTCTGCACTATCATTGATTCGCAAGATGCTCTCATTGAACAAATATTTCCCGATGTACACACGAATTACATAAATCTCGAGTGGCTTGCAGAAAGAGCAATGTTAGCTGCAAAAAATGTGGACGTTGACATTTTAAATCTGAAGATACCACAGTTATTGCCAGGGGACTTGGTATCATATAAATCTATTGATACAGTTTGCGATGACACTGAATCTGTAAATTTTCCAACAGAGTTTTTGAACTCACTGGATTTGCCAGGCATGCCACCACATAACTTACAATTGAAGGTTGGATCTCCAATTATTTTGCTTCGTAATTTGAACCCGCCACGGTTATGCAACGGTACGCGATTAGTCATTAAAAAAATAATGAAAAAAGTTATCGAAGGCACCATTATAAATGGCAAGTTTCGAGGTGAAAATATATTGATACCACGAATACCTATTATACCCACAGATGTGCCAATTCAATTTAAGCGTATTCAATTTCCGATTAGATTGGCATTTGCAATGACTATTAATAAATCCCAAGGCCAAACAATGTCTGTTTGTGGCTTAGATTTGAGCACACCATGTTTTTCACACGGACAATTATACGTTGCATGCTCTCGAGTGGGTAAACCATCAAGTTTGTTTGTATTAGCTAAAGACGGGCTAACAAAAAATATTGTTCACGCTGCAGCATTAAGAGATTATTATTATGTAATGAATTAATTATATATATAATTATTACTTTTAATAAATTAAAACAATTAATGTTTGGTGTTTTGTTATTTTTAAACAACATTCCCTCATCGTTCACAGCGCTCCAGGCCTTTTTCACTCATATTCCACATCCTTATACACTTCCAATAAGTTAGTCATTTTTTTTCTACACTAGAAATTCTCTAGAAATCTTATATATGGCAAGACAACGTTTGCCGGGTCAGCTAGTAATAGTATAAAAATCAGTGGTTTTTACGGATGTTCCGTTATAACTACTAAACCATTCATCCGATTGACTTGAAACTTGGTATCCATGTAGAAAATACATATACTTAATGGATAGCCTAATATTTATATGAGTGTTGGACTCCCTACACCAGTTGCGAGGGCGTTAATGATGAGACTCTTTGTGGGGGTGAGAAATAATAATGTTAATTGTAAATGCCCAGCGAAGCTGACGGGTACAGTACAGGTATTGTATAAATTATTGTAAACAAAAACGAGATTAATGAAAATTAGTTTTCTATTTCATTGTCACGGATTAATTTTTGGTTGAAATACTTAATGATTATTAATGAATTATTCTATTTAACGTGATTCAAGAAAACATTTGATTTGTTTTATTAAAACGCGTTTTTCATTGCAGGGCGTCCGGTAGCGCTGTGATCCTGGATCCTCGCATGGTGTGCAAGAAAAATCGTAGGACACGAGGTAGACTCGCTCAGATCTGCAGAAATGAAACCGGCTTGGTGAAGGAGATCACTAAGGGCGTAACCTTGGGAGCCACCGAGTGCGCCCATCAGTTCAGGAGCCGCCGCTGGAACTGTACTACGCAGAGGCGGAGCATGAGGAAAATATTAATGAGAGGTATTTTTTTTGCCATAAATAGGCATAGGAATGTGGACGACATGTCCTTCTTCAAACGAGGCTTGCGGAGAGTACTTAATGGTATGTAGTGGCTTGGCTCTGCCCCTGACATTGGCGACGGTGACCACTTACCATCAGGTGGGCCGTATGCTCGTCTGCCTACAAAGGCAAAAAAAAAAGCTATTTTTTTGCTATAAATAGGCATAAGAATGTGGGCGATATGTCCTTCTTCAAACGAGGCTTGCGGAGAGTATTTAATGGTAGGCAGCGGCTTGACTCTGCCCCTGGCATTGTTGACGTCCATGAGCGACGGTGACCACTTACCATCAGGTGAGCCGTATGCTCGTCTGCCTATACAGGCAATAAAAAAAAAGGAAAATACCACCTAGCTGAATATAAGCGTGCGTCTTAACACAATAAGCCAAAGTTCCGATTTCCTTTATTCTTTTCTTGAAGGATAATGGACACGCGATTGCTTCGCGGTAAACGTATATAGAATTATGATAAATACAGTTACAGACTTTGAACATATTAGGCAATTCAATAAATCTCCATACTTTAGCTCCAACTAATTCGATGGCTTAGGCCAGCATTATTATTAGAACATGTAAATTTTAAAAATTCCAAACGTAGATGTTCTAAGGCCTACAAGTCAACACTTAATCAAATTTCCTGGTGAAGTGTATTAAAATTGTATTTATGATAGTACATTCAAGGCTACACATTGTTACAGAGAATGGCCATTCTTCAAATCCCGGTCATATATAATTAAAACAAAAATCTAAATGCAGCAATATATCACGGGACGTCAATTAAAGCCCATTAAAATCCAATACACAATAAGTTGGGAGCGAGTTTTATTATCTGCGAACCATTAGCTCAGTGAATCACAACATTTATTGAAACGTGAATTCTATTTACGATCCTTCGACACAAGCGTTCGACAATCAATAGAAATTTTATCGAAACGACCGCGATGAGTTCATCAACATTTAAGATACAGTAAAATGCGGGATCAGGTCTGCTACCTGCCGCCTTTATTAGTTGTCGTACAAAAGAATGCAAAACGTGTTAAATCGCACAGATCGGTATCGGGACCTAATTCGATTAGACCGACAGAGTTGATTTTATGCGAGCCCTCGTTTATCTAAATGCACACGTTTAGGGATGTCTAATTTATCGATAATAATAATTTGATATTGATAAAACATCACAATATGCGTTAAAAAAATTACCTACTACGTACTTTTTTATAGCTTAGTTGGGTGGACGAGCTCACAGCCCACCTGGTGTTAAGTGGTTACTGGAGCCCATAGACATCTACAACGTAAATTCGCCATCCAACTTGAGATATAAGTTCCAAGGTCTCAAGTATAGTTACAACCCCACCCTTCAAACCGAAACGCATTACTGCTTCACGGCAGAAATAGGCAGAATGGTGGTACCTACCCGCGCGGACTCACAAGAGGTCCTACCACCAGTAATGTAGTACTTATATTAGTTTGATAGTAATTACTAAACAAACCTCGCGCGCATGGCTGGAATAAAAAAAAAACATTCAACGTTCGATCTCTTCATAAATATGACATTGCGTAATTAATAAATAATTAAGTGTTCATTATTATGAAGGCTATGAAATTTGATATACGTCCGTTTTTTATTAGCCTCGATCGTGCTTATGAATGTATGAAGGTTCGAAATGAAATGCCATTACAATAATTCAACACCTACACTCGATATCGACATAGGGCCAGCACTACGAGCCGATCATTCGTCGACTCCGAGCATTCATTACGGATTCATTAGCGTAAATTAAGTGGTATTTGTCAAAATTTCATGAGCACACAAAATATTTATGAACCGAACCACCCCGGGGTATTTGGAGCATTCCTCAATAACTCATTCGCGACCGTGCCCACACCTTTTTGGGAGCGGACTTTATAAAAATAAATAAAAAATAAACCCAAATTGTTTATTACATATATACACCTATAAAATATACTGTCGGAAATTACAAGTCAGCGTTTATTTTTATGACTAAGTTTGGCATCGACAGCCGTTTTGCTAATGTAAAAATACATTAATTATGTATTTTATTAGTGGGTATGATAGCTTAATTTGAGGCTTTGTTTTGTTCTTGATCCCCATTTGGCAAAATAACATCGCATCATCGTTTTATTTCTTTAGTTTATACTTTAAGGATTACAATACATTTTCGAGATAAGTATGTCGTCTTAATACCAATTTAATTATTTAAGTTGATTGCGTGCGTAGGCGGTGGGGTCCTTCGGAAGGGAGAAGGAAAAAGAGGTACGGTCAACAAATTAGGTTAAAAGGCTATAAATTGATGCGAACGGCAGTGGGTGGCGCGGCTGAAACGTACGACGAATCTGAATTAGTCCCAGATTTTATCACTTCATGACAAGAAGTAACAAAAAGCATAGGATGTGCTTTTTTTTTTTGTATATGAAATTAGCATTATCGTGATTAGCGTATAGAACCTCTGAGTCTGCTAAGAGACTCAAATGTTTTGTAGCGTATGTTTCATGGGAAGTGTTCTGATTATTTCGAGATGATCCCTCTACATCCTGTTGATCCATGTACGATTCGGTTCTAGAATGAATTTCCATACACGGATTTTCCTGTAACATGTCCTTCTTCAAGCAATGCTTGTGAAGAATACTCAGCGATGGTTACAAAGCCCATATAAAAAATCAACTTTTTTTTTCTCGTACTTATGCTGATAGCCTTGAGAGGCTTTTTCAGCTTCATAACATGTAGGTGAACTCACGGAGCCCAAACCGAAAGTGTTGCTAACATTGGCCCTAGCAAGAGCAGTACTTCGCAGAATCTATCATCGGATCGGAAACGAGACCCACTGAGAAGATCCGGCGAGAAATTCAGTGGGCTGTGTCTGTGGGTTAATTCGCTCGTCGAGCCCTTCGTCGCAAGCGACGGGTTCGACAAGGACGGTGACCGGTGCTTGTGGTACCTAAAAGCACCGTTAATGGATCGGGAGGATCCGTAATGACGTGTTAGAAATCAACATTTCCCTATAAAGTTAGTAACGATAAACTTGCATCTACAACCAAGCCACGAATTTGTATTTCGAAACCTTTGATCGAATTAACCAGTTAACAAAAAGTAAATAATATTGTCAAAATAAAAACTCATTTTTTTCAATAATCCAAAATTAATTACACGTATATATGTGTATATATAAAAAAAACAGCCTGTATCAATATACATATGGAAAAAAGATCATCGTTAATCGGTCCCTTTCATTAGTAAGTCGGTGCATTCTTCGCTTCGTTTTTTTTTATATGTGTCAAATCTTTATCAACAAAAAAGGACTTTATTCTTATTTAAATTTCTTTATCAGTAACCGTCCGATTACCGGTGAGCTAAATTATATTTCACTTATCCACTTAATGATTTCCATGTGATGTCCGTTCTCTGTGTAATGATTTAATGACACAGAGCGTGTGAAATTTTAATGATGACTACGTACCTCTAAAAAAAAGAACATCAATAATATTATAGTATTTATGTGAAAAATTAATGATGACGACTTCTAAAAAAAGAACATCAATTCATTTAATACAATAAATACGGTATCTCTAAAAATACAGTGATTAAAAAAACTTTTATATAGATGAGTAATCATAGTAATACAATTCTTCAGTTTCAACAGTAAATTAATGTCAATGTTCAATCAAAACAAAGAGGTCCGTACGTAAACTTTAAGTGTAACGATATCAAATCGTAAATACCTCGACACCTTATCTGACTAGCGTCGACGGCTAGGTTGATTTTCACTTAAACAAAACAGCCTAATTAAGCTATAAACAAAGCCACAAACACGAACTCCCAAAATATTGGGATCCAAGGCCCTATACTAATCTCGTAGGGCCATTAACTGTCGGCGGGTCGCCGCGAGGAGTCCGCAGAGGCTCGTAAAGATTACCACACGATAACCTGACTACTGGACCCACGAGACCTCACACATGCCCCGAGAGGCGCACATAAATACCCAAGAATGGCTTCATATCGACAAAAAACTCGGCGATAAATTTGGCGCCCCTCAACACGTAAATGTTCTTAATTATAGTGTAACATCCGGGGCGCGCGTCGTATCTAATCTGTATTCTTACGGCCGATGCCCGTCCAGGCTCCGAGATTCGAGAAATCGACACTCATTTATCGATATATATGATTGACTTCGGCAACTCACTGATTCAGCTCATTAAAAAACTCTCGGAACTTGACTTAATTGCTTAATGGAAGCTCGTAGCTGACACTATTCGAATGACGTGTCAACTGGTACCTATTGAACATCGACACGTGAATTTTAATACACTCGTGTACTGAGCAAATGTAAAGACGTATTAAAATAAAATAAAACGTGTCGCACTCGGAAACTGCCGCGGTAAAGCTATTGCCTAGCATTTTTTATCAACTTATGCAATTATAATTAGACAATGATAATTTAATATTAAAACAATAATAAAACAAGAGCACGCTATAATAAACATAAATAAAAGCAAAACCTTAACTGTCCCCTTCACACTCATAAGCTATACCGCGCGAGAGAGAGATGGGCAGACTTTTCATGATGCGCATGACGTCACGCCACGCGCTTATTCACAAACACTACACAAGCGCAACGTGTGAATGTGTTGAACGCGAGCTACATGGTAGGCAGAGTGAGGGGTGTTAGGTTTTTTCCGTTACGGAATTTCATGATTCGGTCGCTGCACTCAAAGCCCGCGATAAAAGCTATGCAATAGCTTAATATCGTGTTAATAAATCCTTGAAATCCGCGCTTTATTTTATTATAGTCTTCACGTGTCTGACAAACGATCGCACTGCCCCGTATAAGGAAGAGTTACATATTTATAAGCGCTTTATACAGAACATGTCAGCTCTGCTTGTGTACGGTAGAATAAACAATAGCTCTTGTTATTTGAAAGTCCAAACATCGAGCCAGTAATCGACAT